ATTGTTGAGGAGTTGGGGTGTTTTGGACAAAATGATTTTTAACAATTTTGTTTCCCAGTAAATTAAATTTATTAAACTTTTTATATTTTTATAATACTAGCTGAAAAAGTCAATCGTTATCTTAAATTGCTTTTTTTAGTTACAAACATTTTATTGAAGTAACATTTATTTTTTATATTTTCATTATTTTATTTAATGATTAGGTGCCTTTTTTTTATTACTTATGAGTTTGGAGTGTGTTTTGTATTAATTAATACTTTAAGGACTAATTGAGTAATTTCAAGAATATGTTAGTCTATAATTACATACTAGGACATACTAATAGTAACACAATTAAAGACCACACTTGGCAGTTTATGTAGTATTAAATTAAAACTCTTTTTCATTTTCTATAGTTCTTTTGGTAAGTTAAAGATTTGGGAATTTCTTTTGAAGCGATACTGTGTTAATCTATTCGTCACATATACTATTTAATCTTATCTAATATTAAAGACGTCCCCGTGATTCTATATTGGCTCCATGATTTGACGAGAGAATTAGGTTTTGTTTCATATATAGTAAACAAGCATTAATAAATATCCTAACAATGTTCCAATTGTGGAATAACGTTGAACATGCATATGTTTGTGTGAGCCATAGTCGAAATTGTGGTGCTAAGGGAGAGAAAGTTAGGGGTCTGTCTTGGTTCAAACATATCCAAACATTTGTTTATTAATGTATACTTGCCTAAATGAAGATAAAGTTGTCATCCTTCTTGTATTCTTGCTTAATCAATCATCTTGTTTGAATCATGCTATTCATTTGGCAACAATTCAAACCTTTCGTGTTTTTTTTTTAATTATTATGCCGGAATGATAATACTTTTTAAGCAATTATTGTGTAGTGTGATTATGGATTGCTGGGGCTTGTTTTGAGACGAACCATGCGTCGAGGAGCTAACAATTTTTTGAGGCCCACGAGCCAGCTTGTTTCGGCTTGTGGGTATAGGACCACAATCTGCTTTGTTTGAGCTTGTGAATTAGTTCTTTTTTGGATTTATTTTATTAATTTCTTAAAAAAAGGTTCCTGAGCCCCACGAGCCAAATGATTGAGCTGAGCCAACTTGGCTTGGGCCATTTCCATCTGGATAGGAAGTTATTCTAAAAAAAAAAAGTAGAAGTCATGCTAAATGAATTCTACGTAGATATTCGGTCAACGATATGAACAAAAGTTTTCCCACCATAAATTTCAATTCAACTTTTTCTATCTATAAATTGGTGCATACATTGAGTTTGACATCAAACTTATACGTTTTGAGTTAATTCAATGGTATAAGTGTACATTGATACGAACAAAACTGAACTATATTAAATAAAAAAAATACATTAAAATCTTGGAATAGGAAAAAGAAATCTTTTCAATTTGACTTGCCTAATATTTCAATGCAACATGATTACACTCAACAAACTCTAAGACCAAATCACTTGATCATAAAAGTCAAAGTTTGACCAAATCTCCATCATAATCGTAATCATCATATTGAGGTTGTAGAGTGAAAGATATTCCAAAAAGTCTAACAAAAATCCAAAACTGCACCAAAAAATACCCCTACGTGTCGAAAAATTGTACGTCCTTTAGCCACCCCCTCCTTTCGAAAATATTCCACCCAACTTTAGAAGTTCTGCATTTCTTAGTACACGTGTTTGAACGTGTCGTGTGTACCCACGTGTTTTAGTTATCTAGAAACATTCGCATACATCAAGTGAATGCCTATAATTTTTAATAAAAACGAGGGAGCAACCATCCTACATATATCTGTCATACAGCATGTGAAGTTCGATCATTTTAACAATATTGATGAATCATACTATGTCTTGTACTTTTGTATGTACATTGGCATGACTAAGAATCATGGTAGAACATTCAAGTAGACCATTTCAAGCTAAAATGTCATGCAAACTAATGTTTAGTTGAACCTTGACCGATGACTCGAACTTTCTTCTTTCGAGCTCAACTTGCATGACCGGAGTCTAAATTGTGTAATTCAGCAACACTAATTGATCTTATATGTGATCGTTTCTCGTTAATTTGTTATATACTACACAATTATGTGCCGTGATTTTCATTGAAAGCTATGGAACATATATCTCACATCGAAAATATAGTTTTTTTAATGTATGATTTACATAGGCTTGAGCTCTTTAATTTCAACACGTACTTTTTGAAGTATTACTCTCTCAAAATTTATAAAAATTATATGAGACATCCAATAGGGAGTGCCACATGGCCCTCCTATTGCCGGACCCATGTGGTTCTAGCCAATAGCAGTGTCATTTTTCTATATGTTCATTCTCAATCACATTCACATAATAAAATTTTTTACACGTAAATTAAAAAAAAAAATTCTTACTTTTTATTCATACATTATCCAAAATTCACTATTCAAAACAGTAATTTTCCCAAAAATTGGCTAGTGACCACCTATTAGGAACTAAAGAGTAATGTTATTTAATTTTACTAGGAATGCAACCCCATTAGCGTCACTCTCAAGTGGAGCTATGTAACATTACTCGATATTAAGCCCTTATTTGATTATCGTTTTTTTTTAAATACATTTTTCTCTTTTATTTTCAACCACATATTTTTCAATAAAATAATATTACACGCAAAATTTAAACTTTTCATTATTTTTTAACAATACATTTTTCATCAATCTATTATTTTAAAATGCATCATACACTACCTGCAGCCGTAAACGTTTTTATTCCGCGTGAAAAGGACAAGCACAGTAAATGTGTGTATTCTAGAAGCTTAGTGAGAATATGACACGTGGAAAGCAGCCTGGTGACTCAACGGTGGTGTGTTAAATTGTGATTACGGTTCATGCACCATTGGGATAAGGTCGGCCGCTAGATTTCACCCAACTCGTTACGTGGCACAGTTCAAATGGTAGAAAATTGGGACCCACTTTTGACTACGAGAAAAGGACGACCGTACTTATCTCTTATTTACACCACCTGCGTATATAAATAACCGCCAAATCGCCCAGATAAAAAAAATTTAGAAAAATCATTTGGCAGATTCGGAAAACTCTCCAGTTTCTAAAGCTGCAACAGAAGATTTAAGAAACTTAGAAATGAACGCTGGAGAATCCGATCCGATTTCAAAACTGAGTTTGCCACCTGGGTTTCGATTTTATCCCACAGACGAGGAGCTTTTAGTTCAGTATTTATGCAGAAAAATTGCAGGTCACCAATTTGCTCTACAAATCATTGCTGATATTGATTTGTACAAGTTTGATGCATGGGAGCTTCCCAGTGAGTTTTTTCTCCTCTGTTACATAAAATATCTTCGTTCTGTAATTTCAATTTTCTGAACTTTTTCTGGGTTTTTTTTTGGTGAAGGCAAAGCCATGTTTGGAGAAAAAGAATGGTACTTTTTCAGTCCAAGAGACAGAAAATACCCAAATGGATCGAGACCCAATAGAGTGGCGGGTTCTGGGTATTGGAAAGCCACCGGAACTGATAAGATTGTAACTTCAGAAGGACGAAAAGTTGGTATCAAAAAATCCCTTGTTTTCTACGTAGGAAAAGCACCCAAAGGAACCAAAACCAATTGGATTATGCATGAATACAAGCTCATAGAATCCCACAGTAAAAATGGTGGCTCAAGGGTAGGAAACTTTATAATCTTGACACGCAGACATCTTAATATGTATGTATATTTGTAAATTTGGTGCTGATGGTTTCTTTTTTGTGATGTTTTGTGTTTTTTTAGTTGGACGATTGGGTGCTATGCCGGATTTACAAGAAAAACTCATCAAATGGGCAAAGCCGCAGTTTTTCTGATGCACAGAGCAAAGAGTATAGTCATGGTTCAACTTCGTCGTCATCGCATCAATACGACGACGTTATGGGGTATTTGCCGGAGATTGATAACCGGTTTTTCTCTCTGCCAAGAATGAATTCTCTGAAGACTTTTCATCAAGAAGATCAGAAATTGAATCTTCAAAACACGGGCTCTGGGAATTTTGACTGGCACGCTCTAGCTGGGCTCAACTCGGTGCCTGAACTCGGTCAAGTCCAGAAGGGTCAAACTCAGGGAATTATGAACAGCCAGAAGATCATGAATGGCCAGAATGAAGTGTATGCCCCTGCTACGCAGCAACAACTTGGCAGTGTTGTGGATGATGAGGTACAGAGTGGACTCAGAAATGGATTTTCCCAGAGTTCTACGTTTACCAACTCGCTTGACCCGTTTTGGATTCGGTTTTCGACTCAGCCGGGTGGTTTCGGGTTTAAGCAGTGAAAATGATAATGAATGAAGTCGCTGGGGTGAATTTGAGACAGAAAAAAGAATACAAGGGATCTTTGTGTGAATAAATGGAATTCTTTGGGCTAATTAATAATTGGGGTTTTGGCCCCTGAAAAGAAGCCGTAAGGAGCCTACTTTACGGGCTTGGGGGGCCTCAGAAGGCCGTTCTTGATAGGTTAGGTTGGATTAGGTAAGGTAAAATTTAGCCCTTGTTTGAGCTCCAATATTTGAAAAAAAATAATTTTAGAATAGTATTTTTCGAAAAATGTATGGTTAACGAGTAAGAAAAAATTTTGGATTTACGTGTGTAATATTTTTTTATTGAGAGAATGCGTGATTGATAAGGGGAGAGAGAAAAATGAATTAAAATTTAATGGGATCAAATATGGGTTTAGCGTGCTACGATATTCTCTATTATTTTGTTGAAATTATTCTATTTGTAAAATATTTCAAAAAGTTAATAGTGGCAGTAGTTTATTATTATTATTTTGCAGAAGAATTTGCATTAGTTAGTTTCTTTTAAAAGCATTTTCAATAAATTATTAAGATAGATTCGGAAGTAGATTTTTAATTTTAAGAGTAAATTTTGACTTTTCAAAAGTTTTGTTAAGCAAGTTTTAAAAATTGTTAGTTATTATCAAGAAAATACTTTTCATATAAAAAATGTTCAAAATGGTTGGTCTTTCAAAATGGTGCACAGCTTAGGGGTTGTTTTTTTTGTGTTTCAGTTTTGTATTTTGAATTTTAAATTCATTTTGGGTTTTATGTTTTGACTTTTAAGTGTTCATTTTGAGATTGTTGAAAATGTGTTTTTTTTTTCTTTTTATATTTTGAAAATTTGTTTTGAAAACACCTATAACTCGTTTTGAAAATTTTGGTTTGGTCATAACTGAAAACACTCAAAACAACAAATTTGTCGTTTCGTATTTTCTTTGTAAATTTTTTAACTTGTTTTTAAAAACGCGTTTTCACTGTTTTTAAAAATCGAAAACAAAAAACGGTTTGAAAATGGTAATGTCACAACTCAATTTGCTCTACAAGAATACACACGTGAAATTTAACAACGAAATCTCATTTCGCTTTTATTATTGTCCTCGTGAACATTGACGAGTTTTTCTCATTCTCGTAGTTTATAACATGACTAGTTTAAAAATCGACAACAGAAAACGGTTTGAAAAAGGTAAGGAGAACAGACCCTTAGTTTCCTATCACAACTCAATTTGCTCTACAAGAATACACACAGGAAATTTAACGATGGGATCTCATTTCACTTTTATTATTGTCCTCATGAACATTGATGAGTTTTTCTCGTTCTCGTAGTTTATGACATGATTAGTCATAACGAAAGTCTTTCCGTAGTTTAAACATGACGAGTCAGAAGTTGCAGAATATTTGTTCTTGTCAAGATCAAGATTAGGCCATGTACCTAAATACGATAGTGAATATGGAATCATTCTCTTGACTGGCAACTTTCTAGCTTTTACCTTGTCGAGGAGCCTTCTGGTGTCCAAACAAACGTGGAAAATGGCTCATTTTAGCAATGTTTCAACTCTTGCAAAATCTCGACGAGGTCTATCTTCAATTTTTGATCCTTGTTATGGTCTATAGACCCCTCTGTTAGGGTGGTCAATCGATTTTCTTCAATTTGTGGCCCTCGTTGAATTGGAGCTCTACATATTTTCTATAAAATATCACAAGTCTCTCTGTTTCTTGACTATCATCATCGTTAAGTAGTAGCATTATGAATCTATGATCTTATCTTAATTTTAAATGTTTTATGATTACTACCAAGATGAATGGTATTTCATCATTTTTATTTCACATTTTTTTCTATATCTTATATTCATCATTTGCTTGACGATCTTCATTTTGCTTTGGAAATGCGTAACTCCTCTGTTTATGCAGGTTGTCTCATGGAGGCAGACACGAAAACTTTTCAAGGGAAGAGAGCTAAATTAGCAAGCCATTTGAAGGAGAAGGTTTCCAATATGAAGTATTTGGAGGCTTCAGATGCTCGAGTTGAAAATCAAGAAAAATAAATTTACAACCTTTGCTCTTCACTTGCCCACGCCCGATGTTATCTCCTTGATGGTCGCAAGTGCTAAAACGGCTAAGACACGGCCAGTGCCTTGCTCATATGTCTAAATCATACTCGAATGTACTCGGTCAAGTACATTTCTGGGAATAGTCGGTGCACGGCAGCGTTGAAGAATCATCACCAATTTTCTAGCTCTTTCCTAATGCAACTAACTAGAGAAATCTAGAAGAATCCATACCTCACCATTATTTTAGAGTCCATGAGAAG